CAACATAGAACTTTTAATGTTTTCATGAGCCCATTCTTCATAAAGAAAACCAAAAGAAAGAGAATTCAATTATTAAAAGCTGCACGCATCAGCAAAAGGAGCCTTTACATCTTTGCACACCTCATCAGCTTGAGCTAAAACAGTCACTAGTAGCTATCATGAGCTGTACAACCACATAACAGGAAGACAAGGTACAGATTTTGCCTGTAGGTTTTATAGGAACATAGTAATAGAAAAAGAACAGTGAAATTCTAAAATCCTGTGTTCAGATTTTATGCTCTGCCCACACTTCTTGTGCAACCATTTTTGCCAGTCCTAATCTCAACTTTTTTCTTGCCTCTTACTCCTTTCTAATTCCTACGTTCCTTTCCCAGTCTGGGTCCCTACTTTTCAGGCCTCCCATTTTGCCTCTAAATTTCAATTGTAATCTAATTTTAAGTCAGACCTAGTCTCTCAACTAGTTTGCCACTTAAATACCAAACTCAGGCTCTATATTCCATCATACTCAGCTTTCTTCATCAGTTCTTACAGTCTTTCCTGTCTTTACTGGCTTGCAAACTTAGTTTAATTCTAGGGGAATTTTATACAAATTCAGTCTCCCTCTTCAACATTTTCTCCCAGTATACAGTTCCAAGCTTTTCCCTACCCTTTTCACATGGACAGGTTTCCCTGTTGAAGCTCCTAGCAGCAAACCCGATTTCTCATCTTCAGCCTCTTTCCTGCTCCCAACGTCTTGGCCCTACCATTCCCTTGCAGTGCCAGGCTCCCATCCTAGTGTCAACAACATAGTCTGTACAATCTCCTACCCATCTTTGTAAGGCATGAAGACCATAGCTCTCTCCAGTAGTCTTTTAAGGACCTAGGAGGCCAAATACATGAAAATAAGTTTGCCAGATGGCAGCCTGACAGGCATAGCTAAGTCGGGTTAGATTGATAAGTCATTTTTCTCTGTTGTGGTTGGTTTCTTGCCCTGTGATAGTACCAATACAGAGAAAAGCTTATGAATTATCATGAAGGAGTAGAATAATGTTGGCAAAATTATAGCAGCACAAGCCTCAAGAAAAGACGCTGTTATACATCCCTTGTGTAACTATATTCTGTATTTGTCTTGTAACAAATTTTGTCAGCATAAAGACATATGCCACCAGAAGTCTACAGGGGTAGTAATAATTGAGTACAAGGATAATTATTTTAGTGAAAATTAAACATAAAAACCCCCACTCTGATGTCACAGTTAAAGAATTAAATCCAAATAGACAAAGCCAGAATGTACTATGTTAACGGTAAGACAAGCTTATAACGTCAACTGAGATGTATTCCACTTTCAAATAGGAACTGTGACAAAGCAATATTGTGACCCACATCATATTCGTGTTTTATTGTAGTCATCTAAAAATGGCCAAATGCTTGTCTTTGTAGGAGCAGAATATATAAAACTTATGGAGGCTTTAAATACCACGACTTTGAATTTCTTACGATTCTGGTATTTATCAAAAGTGTATGGGCTTTATTTGGCATGCAGGAGTTGTGCAGGAGCAGTCATTATGCAGGACTGCTTTAACACCCCCAAAACCCCAAGACAGTGCAGTTCCCATCAAAACAGACAGCTTCTTATCCTTCTAAGTTTTACCAGAAGGTCTGGCTTCTTCAAATGGTTCAGCTCACTAAAGCTTCCTCAGGACATCATGTGCTCTCCTGCCACTGATATTCTCCTCTCTCTCCTCTCATCTCTGCTGCCAGCCCTCCCACTGCCAAGGGAAACATAAAAGTAGTTCCCACCTCTCACTGAGCAGAAGACATTCTGCTGCCCAAACCAACAAAAAGGAGACATATCAAAACCAGAATTGCACAGTTATTTTTAATACTAATTCTATTCTACTTTCCATTACCTCTACTAATCTTTTCAAAACTGAAAAGTAATGTATTTCCCCCTACTGACTTCGTAATTTCCATTTGACAAAATTGATTCCCTTGCACCCCTCTGTTTCTGTTCCAGTTAAAATTAATGCATTTTTAATTTGCTTCCTTTGAGCCCTAGGAAGATCAAAGATGGTAACCAAGCTCTGGGAATTTTGCAAAATTTGTTCATTAGTAGTCTGATAGCAGAAGGAGCGTATCCTTAATTTTTTTGTTTATTATTTTCCAATAATAGAGGAGTGGATGTATAAATGGGTGAAAATAAAAGAGATTTTTGAAAGCTTTATAAACAACAGTTAATGAGAATCTTTGACTAATTCAAGACACTCTAAATACTTTAGTTCCACTCTCCACTGCACTAAAATGGAGCCATAGTGTATTTTTATTATTTAAAAATCTGTACACTTTCTCACAATGAGACAGAAATCCACTCATCTCTTCACAAAGCCACGCTGTACACTTAAGATAAGTGTCCAATAAATGTATGGAAGCAAGCTTGCCCTATCTGATGAAGATAGATTTATTCATCATATTCTTCTCTCCCTTACTTAATGCCCACTTTAATGAAATCAATTAACCAATATTTTCAAAAGCTGAACAGAGATTCTTCCACGTTGTGAAGAAATTTCACTGTTGGGAAAAATTTTCCTCATGAAAATATTGAGGATGACAGGCAAAAGTGGTAGGCCTAAATGTTATATGGATTTTACTGTCATACTTACATACGAGTAGTAACTGAAGCGATTACAAATTAATAGGATCCACAGTACTTAAATAATTTTGGAACTTTGTACTCCTCTGATTGTAACACCAGTCTGCTCTATCATGAGACAGCTAATTCAAAAAACATTAATGTGCTTTTTCATGCAGCACTACTTTTGTTTATTTGTCAGTATAGATATTGTTTGTGAAAATTTCTAATGTCTGTGCACCCAAAGATAGAAAATATCTATAAATAATATCTGCAGAAAATGGAAATGGCATTCTTGTAAGACATAAGTAAAGAGTGCCACATTTTTCAATCAAGTCCTAAAACCAGTTTTATCTATCCTGGCAAATCAAAGACAGAAAATGTATGACTAGTAAATATTTATCCTGGATAGCTAATTTGTTTTACATTAAGAAAACTGTTGTCTTCTGTGATTCATGCTTGTGTTTTGGAGTGGGATAGCCAAATAAAGCACTCTTTAAAGTTTACAGAACAAAATGCATTATTTACTTAATTCCAGAATATTGAATAGGGCACCCTAATAGCCTTGAATTTCCAGTATCACTCAGAGCAAAGTAGTTCATTAGTCAGCATCCAGATATCTGAAAGTTTATCTCCCTTGTACTGGTTGGTGTCTTTTTAACTGATCTTAAATAATTTTTAACATCCAGCTGTGCATAAACAATTGCAATTTGCAATTTGTTGAAGAACAGGGGCATTGTAGAATTGGAAAAAAAAAAAGTAATTGCTTAGTAAGAGTTCATTGTAGTACCTGTTCATTCCTATTTGAAGTGTATGTGTTGTGAAGATGATAAAGTTCTGAGGATAATAAAGGTTATTAAGTAAATGCTTTTATGTGTTAGACTGAGAATATCTTGTGTAAATTCACTGATTTACAAAAACTTGTACCAACATAGCTGAAAACATATTTGCAATATAAAATTTAATTTTTCAGAAAGGTAAAATACTGGTTCATCTTTCACTAAAGAAGTTTAATATAGAAAGTGTAAGATCCTTGACAAATATATACAGAAGACTCTGGTAGCATAAACTGATATATTACAGTGGGCTCTTTGCACAGGTGAAGAAAGGGTGGTTTCCAATTCCCTCCATCCAGAGTATCCTGTTTCTGGTACAGAAATTTTTTATAATTTCAGGGTTTTTTAGCATATTTTGTATTTACTCTTCATTATTTTTTACAATGAACGATATTTGGGATTTAATTAACAAACATTTAAGCAAACCTGACAGGACAGAATAGTAGGGGGAAGTACTAGGTGGTTGTGTTGTTAGAGTGCCAGAGTGCTAGATCCAGTTCCAGATGCAATTCCTTAATAACCTCAGACATAAATCCTCTTAGAAACTGAGTTAACTCTCTGTGCCTATCTGAAGTCCAAACCTTTCAAGGGAATGATGTATCCCATTGTAACAGACTCCCTACACATTGTAACTGTGGAAAAAATAACAGTACTGACAAAAGAAATTAATAATAGAGATCTCTGACCACACATAGAGGGAAATAAAGAGAGAAATCTGATGAGGTTTTGGAATATTGTTCTACTTATTTTGGATGTGACTCTTTATCACTTATTAGAATAAATATATTCAGATGCACATAGGAACTGCATTTGGCACTACTCTATAATAATACTGATTTTGTTTCTCTGTTTCATGTGCATTTCTCTTAATGCTTTTTCTGTCAAAATGATTTCTATTCACCATTTTTCCAATTTTTAAATAAAACCATTTGATTAAAAGTACTGCATGAGTGAAAAGAAGCTCCATGGAGAAAAATATCAAATGAACAATACATACATGAAGTGCTGCACTACTCCTGAGCTGAGCCTAGTTGTTTACAGAAAATATGCTGTACCAAAAATGACAGAGACGGTTGTAGTTCAGTTCTGATCAGAGTAAACTTGTGGAATTTCAATCAAAATTAGAAATAGAAAGCTGTTTAAACAACATTTTCTCTCGCCTTCTCCTACTAATTCATGAGAAATCCGGGTGTAACATCTGTATCTAAACCAAACGTAATAAGAAAACATTTCATAACAGTTGTGAATCTACCAGAAGGAGCCCTCTGGATGCTGAAACAACATACTAAGTGAGAGTGGGGATTCGAATTCACTTTGACATTTTATGACCATCTCCACTGCCCACCTCTCGTTATAAAGACTGAAGAGAGGATGCTTGACTCCAACTCTCAGAGACTAAAAAGGAGATCAAGAAAGCCCCAGTCTTAAACCATTCAGGATCTTTGAACAGGACACATGAACAGGGTCAGCACAGCTGTGGTCAATTAGGAAAGGTAGCAAAACAATTAGAAAATTATATTTAAAAAGCAATAAGAAAAGAGTTTGTTTCTTCTCACCTTTTTCTTCATTTTTACATTTTTGAAAATTGCATGAACCCTCCATGTTTTTGCAAACATTGCTCCAAATGCAGTTGTGTATCCCACTGTAAGAATCCATGTTCGGACCTAAAATATATATACATAAATAAAGGCAAAGTCATTTAATTTTCAATGTACAATGTGGATATCACAATTTAAGCCAACTTGTTTCTCAAGGCCTCGAGAAAAAAATATTCAAAGAACTTCACAAAAATTTTAACATTTCAGAATTTCTCATTGCTTACTTGCTTTTTTAACTTCTCCCTCCATCCTCTCTCCAACCGAAACAAATCTGGATGCTGAATTAACCCTCTCTTTCATATATAAAATCACAAATCTCTTACAATATTCTGCATTTTTGTTCACTTTTGTTGTGTTCTGTGCAGATAGAGGAAAGAACTAATGGAGGAACTCGAGACAGACTATAAACAGTACTCAGCGAGCTAACATTAACAGTAACATTTTGATCAGAAATGAACAGAGAAATAGAGATGTTATTCAGACTAAATAAGATAAAATTGTACTATGTGAGATATGCATCACTCAGTGAAAACCCTGAGTATTCTGGAAAGGTAAGAAAACAGGAACATAGTCTTGGTAGACAGGTCCTGGAGATGGTGAGCTTGCACAGAGTGATGAAGCAATAGGACCCTGAGCTGGCCACAGCTATGACATAGACCTATCTAGACATTTTCCTCATAGTGAGCTTCACAGAGAAAACCAGAAAATTTAAAAACTAAAATAGAACTGATGTATTTAGTGTAAAAAAAGAGAATAAGGTGTGTGTTGTTTTTTTTTTTTTTAATAGAAAAGCTTCAAATTGATCAAGAAGGAGAGAACACAAGTTACAAAAGCTTTTTTCTGCAATTTCCCAACTGCCCATAGCCTCTTGTACATAGGCCCTCGCTTTCAGACTTGCTTTGATCTAGGACAGTGACTTTCAGAGTTGTAGTAAGTTCTGCACAACCCTCTCTAATTCCTTGGAAGTTTCTCTTTTCATTACCTATAGGTTTGGTTGTTTGAAAGCTTTTCTGCCCTCAACAGGCCATCTTCCTCCCCAAAGATGGGTCAGACACTACAGAGCATAGCAGGTAGAAGACCATGCAAGAGGCACAGCATGGAGCTGGAAGCCAATAGCTGAGAAATCACAAGGAGGAGGAACAATCTCATCCTCTTTTTAGAGACTACACATGAACCAGTTGTCAAAAAGGGAGACTGCACAAAAACAAAGAAAGAAGTCCCTTGCAGATGAAAAAAATGAGGGAGAGACAATGACTAAAGAAAGGGAAGGGAAAGCTATAAAAAAGGAAAGCCAGACTTCTTTTGGCCGTATTGATCATGCATCCTTGGCCAGTGGTGTTTTGTGATGTAAAACTAATCTGATTTAGAGAAACCAGCACATTCTGAGAAAGTATTTGGAAAATAACCTTTAGATGACCTAAAGGCAATGTTTTTCATTGGAAACCAGGCTAGTTTCACATCTAACATCTGGAGAGTTTGGGATTTTTAACTTGTAACTTCAGGATATGCATATTGATGAGAAACCAGGTGTTCTAGTAAGACGAAAAACTTGGCATCTAAGATAAATATGAGTAATAATCTAAGTGCTTCATTTCTAAATATATGCTATCTAGCTTTTGCTTTTCCAAATTTTTTCAGAATTTCCATTTTAGTATTCAAAACGTGGGTTTTTTTCTCCCAAAATTTTCTGTGGAAAAGAAATTCTGAGTTTTCATAAGTATTAGTGATTGGGCATCAAAGCAGGAAAGAAAAGATATGAAAAAAAATATTACACATTCAAAAACATTGATAAAGTAATAAGTGACATAAAATTACTGTCGTTCCTTACAATAAACAAACAAACAAACAAACAAACAAATAAATAAGTAAATAAGACACATTTGATCCATAATGGTTGGGATTATGTATAGAAGACTGTTTAGATATATATTAACATCATAGTGGCACCTAATGTTGTGGTTTATCTTTAACATTGCTCATACTGACCCTGAATGTAGAGTTCACCCATTGCTGGTTAATCTTGTTGTTAATAAAACTGATAAACCAACTGCGATTAGATTGAAACCCCACTTTGTGACATTCTTGAATGTGATATTGAAAAAGAAACCCCTAACCAAAAAAAAAAAAAAAAGAAAAAAAAGTAATAGATATTTGGGTCAGCAAAGTATTATTTTTAACTGAAATACTTCTCAAGTCTTTGCTCATTATCCACTATCATACATTATGCTTCAGTAAAACCACTGTTAGATCAACTCTGAGTGATTTAACAAATTCATTTCATATCAACATGTTCATCTTAGCCAGTTACATTTTTTTTGACTTGACACCAATAACCATACTTAGCATTCAATCTTTTTGCTGCTATTAATAAGTATTCAGCTCTTTTCTGTACAGTTTAGTGATATATTTGGCAAACAAATACATGGTATTTTCGTGTCTCTAATAAGAGTCTGATTTGTTCTCACTGAGACAGTAATTGTCTCTTGGGAATAGTAATAAATTCAATTATGCTCATAATATGTTTCTAACCCAATATTCAGAAAAATGTTATTTCTAGAATATTTAATTCAAAAAGTTTTATATATTCCTGATCTGGATTGTGCATATTAGAATAACATAACCACTGTCTGTATTGGAAACATTCTAGCTGAAACATACCAGGAGATTTTGTCAAAATGAGATCACTGTTGCTAAGAAGGAGATGGTAAGTTTCATATGAAAATAAATTTTTTACTTTGAAGAAAATTACCTCGAATTTGTCTGTTATAATTCATTAATGCAGCTGGCAAAATGAAAAATTTAGAAAATAGCAGAAGCCTCTGAAATTCATATATCTGCTCATTTATATTAAATGTATTATACCTCCAAATCCCACTCATTTGAAAGAACATGATAAAAATAACACCAATAATCATAGAGGATGACCATTATGTTATAGAATTGATCAGTAATTCTCTCATGTTGGAAGTTTATAATGACGTATTTCGACAGAAAAAGCTGAAGAAGATCACCCTTCACCCAGTACCCACCAAATGAGCAGGAAAGAGGTCTCTTTGTAGACAAGAACTTGCATTCAAATACGTATTCCAAACTGGACACAAAACTTAAAAACATTCTTTTTTTTTTTTTCTAATTAAATGGTCAGGTCATAACAAAATTCTTCATGCCTTCAATTAATTTTCGGACATACTGACTAATTGAATATTTCCTACTAATATTTTTTTCTCTATAATTCAAACACAATGTAGAAGTGTCAAAGGAAATTATATTCTTTGGTATACAACAATCAAGTATACTTATACAGATAGTAAAATGCAGTCTCCTAGTTCTCTTTCCTTTATACTTACTACACTATTTTGGTTTAGGGTCTGTTTTTGAAAGTATCATGTAGGAATTTGCGCTTTTTATAAGTAGAAGCTCTTACAGGTGCATTGCTTGTGATAACTAAAAAAACTAGAAATCATTTATCTGATGAACAACACTGTTGACAATCACCAAACACTGAAAGTGTCTCCATAAAGAAACAGACCTTTCTGGGTAATTTTTTTTAATGGAATAGTGAAACAACTTGATTCTTTAAGAACTCCTTCTTCAGCTGGTACAATATTTAAATTATGTTTCTGTAGTGGAATCACTTAGACTTAAAAATTCTTGAAATATATTTTTTACCATCTCAAAATGTGTGTGGGTTTTTTTTTTTTTTTGATTAGAGTTTTTTTGGATTTTTGGTTGGTTTGTTGGTTTTGAGGGTTTGGTTTTGGTTGGTTGGTTGTGTTTTTTTGGGGGGGTATGTGTTTGTTTTGGATTTGTTTTGGGTTTTGTTTTGGTTTGCTTTGCTTTGCTTTTTAATAAAAACTTGCACATCTTTCTTTTGTAGGACTTGACACTCCAGACACTCTCCAGTTTAATATATGAGACTCAGACTGATTAATTTAGGGAATATCAATAATTAGCCAGTTCTACACATGCACTGGGTGGAAGCTGCAGTGCCCACAGGGTTAGGCTGCAGCTGAATACTACTGCTGAGCATCTTAGAGGCATCTCGTACTAGACTTAGGCACTTAAAAGGGACAAATGTGAGAATAAATCATGCTGTTGGTTTAGCCCTGGAGAGCACAATTATGTTTAAGAGGACAATTCTGTTGATTCTTATGGACTACTCATGAGTTGAAAATTAAGTACCTTCTATTTTTCTTGGCAAACCAGAGACGTAAAGTACAATTATTATGAACAAAAATGTGTCATCTCAACAAGTTTTCACTGGGTCGTGATCCTGCTTCTATTAACCATGGCAAAACTCCTTGCACAGGTCTGCACAAGTGGACCACAAAGAATGAGTTCATCCCTTTGAATTATACTTTTCTCATTTATATCAAACATTTTTGACAAGTTTTTATGACTCTTAACACATTTTTAGAATTTGTGTGGCACCAGCACAGATTCCTGCAAAACGTAAGTGGTAATAATGTTATAGAATTGAATCCTGCTGTTTTCACATAAATTAAGTACAGTGGCTCATCACATGCTGTGAGATCTCCTGTGGTGATTTCTTAATACACTTTAGATCATTTTTCAGAGTTAATCTGTGGGCAGAGTAAAAGATGTTACACTTTCTCCTTTTTCTATAAGGAGCTTCTGAAATCTGTCTGCTGTCCTACTGTAGGAGAGGTAAAACACTCTAAAAATATTACCTTAATAAATCTCTGGCAAGGTTGTGGTGTATTTACTTAAGCACACAACATAATTTTGTTTCTAGGATCTATTCAGCCTCATAACTTTTGTTTGAATCCTTTTTTTTTTACCCCCAAGAAAATGTCATTTACTAAAATAGAAGCTGAGCAGGCCTATGTTAAACTCAGTAACATGAGTTTTTCAAAGGCAATGAGAATTGCCTTTGAATTAATAGGAGTGAGATCAGTCTCAGGCTGAAGGACAGTGAGGACAATTATGGAAGTGATTATACAAAAAAGGGATTAAAATTAACAGCTAAACAATTAAGTAGGAAATAAACTGAAGAATACACACAAAATTAAAAAGGCCAGATGAAAAAAAATAAACAAAGGCTA